CACTGTTTTCGGGATAACGACACACTCAGGGTTATAAAGAATTTCTTAAGTGTTTGATACATATCACTTATACCTTTTTTTCTCGAAGAAGTGAGTATATAGTGGATTTTAATTAATTTGTAAACAGTTACTACCTTCAGACTTCCTAACCCGACAACGTTGCTCCTCGAGGAAATTTCATTTTATTTCCTTGTCATGCCCTGCTTATCACTGCATCAATTTTGTTCTGGCAAAACTAATTTATAGTATTTTAAATCTATATTTATTCTGAAAAGATATGGTTTCTCTAATGTGTATTCATTAGATAACAAGCTTTAGATATGGATTACCCTTAATAAAACACAGTTTTTGAAACAAGTGCAGTTTTAGAACACACGTGACACTTGTTGTAATACAGGTTCTGGAACAAGTGCAATTCGCTGTTTTAGAACACACGTGACACTTGTTGTAACACAGGTTATGGAACAAGTGCAATTCGCAGTTTTAGAACACACATGACACTTGTTGTAACACAGGTTCTGGAACAAGTGCAATTCGCAGTTTTAGAACACACGTGACACTTGTTGTAACACAGGTTCTGGAACAAGTGCAATTCACTGTTTTAGAACACACGTGACACTTGTTATAACACAGTTTCAGAACGCGAGTAACATTTGTAACACATTTTAGGACATGTGAAACGCCTATTGTAACGTAGTTTCAGAACACGTATTTCGCCTTTTGTAAAACGTGTGACACCTGCTGTAACGTAATTTCCCCGAAAAGGGGCCGAAATAGTCAGCCAGTAGTCACAAAAATGGTGTCGCATAAGGGACGCTTAGCCTTGCAATTTGTACTGTCGTAACGTCAGTCAAACGTGTGCATGCCATGAATCACGAGAAGAATCATGCACTCTGTAGGCTACAACACAGCATGACATATGAACTTCAAAATCAAGAAGTACAAATATTTGTTGCTTTTTGTATTGAAACAGAACACTTTCGGGGACCCTGCAGAAGTACACCTAGTTTTAGAAGATACGTAACACTTGGTTGGCCTCGAGTCTTCATGGGTAGCGGGTAGTGCGTACAAAACTTATAGTATGAGGTAACTCTTAAAAATTAAATTGGTTTGGATATCAGAAAGTTCTTCCTTCTGCTTTCGACCAGTGCTTAGCAAGATTAAAACATCATAGTCTGTATATATACATTCGCTTTTCTGGGTGGGCTCGCAAATAAGCCTGATTTTGTTATCTGGTGTTGGATTGCTCGTAATTTAGCACAAATAAATATATCCTGTCATCTTGCGAACGTCTAATGTAATAAGAAACAAATAATTTTCAGAGCGAGGTGAATTTTTCAAACCGTTGTTTTAGAAGTGGGGTGGCGCTGTGCAGCAAATGTTGATTAGTTACCCCATGAATAAAACTGAAAAACAGTTGAGTTAGTAGAGCCTTTAGATAAAAAAATAAAATATATTTCTAGCCTAATTACGTGGTTAATTGATCGTTCATTATATATATATATATATATATATATATATATATATATATATATATATGTGTGTGTGTTGTTGTTACGTTAGTACTTACTTACTTACTTTACTTTACTTACTACAACCTAACACTAGTACGTACCGTTACGTTTACCGTTTTACCCCGTTTTCCCCTTTACCCCTTTAA